GTTTAACCCTCCTGCACACCAACCTCACCCTCTGCACCTCCTGCTCCCCAGCACCCCCCATGCACCCCTCCATACTCCAACACCGCTCCCCACATACTTTGCACATGCACACCACCCTGTTTACCCCAACACCCCCCTGTCCTCCCCTTGCACCTCCCCAGCCCAGTGCAGCACCCACACCAGTGCCTGCTTGCACACAAACAACCCAGGCTGCAGCTGCCCCACTTCCCAGCTGCAGAACAGGCAGCTGTCCCCGGGGCTCCCTGCACCCCACATCTGCCCCCCAGCTGTGTCCTGCTGCAGCCTGGGGGGGAATTGAGGGGGGACAGTAAAAGAAGGAAACCCCAAAGACTGGATTCCCTCTGGGCAGTTGAGTGTGTTGGGGTGGGAAATAACCTGCCAAGAGCAGAACTCCAGCTGAAGCCTGTGTCAGGGAGAGATGTTTGTACTGACCGAGTCCAAAGCAACTGCTGCTTATTGGAGTTGTTTCTCTTTGAGCCCCCTTAAACCGTCTGCACCCTACTGTCCTCCAAGATTGCTATCCCTGCATGTAAACACTCTCCCCCCACCCTCCACTTTCCCTCACTCAGCTTTTGCCTGCTTTTCTCTAAAGACAGAGCAAAACAAATGTTGCTGCCAAGATCTTTCCTCAAAACACTCAGTGCTGCAGCTCTGGGATCGGGGGAGTTGACTGACCTTTCAGCCAATTCTCCATTTGCATATTTAAGGAATCGGGCCATGTTTACAGCTCGGAGTAGCAGCCCCGCTGGCCGCCTCTCCCCGCTCTCCTCAGCGAGCTGCTCTGGCTGACCTGGAGCAGAGCAGCTGTGCAGTGCGGGAGCCCCTGCCTTCCTCTCACGCACCCCCCTCGCACTTCCATTTCACATTCCACTGAGGACTCAAAATGGCTGCAGATACAATTAGGGAGGTATTGAGAGCTGGGGGGTGAGATCCAGGCCTGCTGAGAGGCAGAGGGAGCTTTCAGGTGTCAATGCATCCTGGGGATGGCATGTCCAAAAGGTAGATTCCTCTCCTTAGGGGCTGGCCCATGCGGGCAGTGGGTATGTCCCCCACCATAGCTTTTACTGTTGCACTGCTTCTGTTCGTGGCACAAAAGAGGAAGCTCCCTCAAAAATAGGTCTCAAGGCTGTAGATAAAAGTCCATAGTGCTGGGAAAGAGCCTGTGCCATGATCATCCATCCTTATGCCCCTTTCCCAGAGCTCTGACTACTTTTTTTTGAGCTGTTTGCTCAAAATAGGGGAGGGAGTTGATATAGTGGCACTAGGCAGGGGCTGTGCTGCCTCAAGTGTTGTTGCTGTGACTTAACCTGTCTGTCACTCTACGTGTCTGCAAAGAGCCCTGAGAAAGAAGAACGAATCAGGGCTGTGGTCTCCAGCTGGAGTCTCCTTCCATCCTTTCCTTTCCTTTGTGTGTAAAGAGGATTGAGGCAGAAAAGAGATAAATAGGCTCCTGGGAGGTTTGGGGTGGAGATTCTGATCATCTTGTTCGTGCCTGCGCCGCGTGATTGAAGCCTGCAGCCTGTGTATTGATCCGTGCACTAAATGAAGTCATGGTGCATCCGTGGACTAATGTCCTGAACCTGGTTTCGTTCTGCTGTCTTGACTCCTCCCTTGTCTGTGGTGGTTGGTGCCTTGCACACCCTGTTAAATAGATAGAGGTTGAGGCAAAGTGAGGGAGGACTCTGTTTCTTTCCTGTCCTGATTGATAAGATTTAGGATTTTTGGCAACAGTGTAAGAGGTTTCAATGTAGAGTAAAGGCAGTTCAGTGCTACCAGACTAGATCTGTCCTATTCGCTAGGCACCTGCTGCTTTGAAGTACTCTCATCTGCTTGGTATTCAGAACGTCGCTGTTTTCCACCCAACAGATGCTACTTCTACCGCAACCCCGGTCTCTACAGCGGAGGTTGATGCTTCCCAAGAGGTCAACCAGGTGTTTGAACCGGCTGATACGTCACCCTCCCGAAGCGAGGCTGCCGCTGTGCAGCCCGTCGTCGGGATCAGTCAGAGAGTGCAGATGAACTCCAAAGAGAAGAAGGACTTAGGGACACTAGGTACAAACCTGGAATCACATGTTGGATCCCTTCCTGTAATTCTGGCAGGATGAATTTCTTTTGAGACTCTGAAAGCTGGATTTATGGCCTCTAATTTTGCCTCTTTCTTTATCCTCGCAGGTTATGTGCTGGGGCTGATCATGATGGTGATAATCATCGCCATTGGAGCTGGTATTGTCGTGGGATATGTCTACAAGAGGTCAGTGGCTTTTTTTTTTTTTTTTTTTGTCCAAAAGCTGGTGTAGGCATGAAACAATCTGGCCAGTTCAGGAGTCCAAGCTCCTGCAGACCAAACCAGATCATAGTGAAAAGGCAGATGGAAGTATAAACTCTCATACATCTCTGATGATGCAGGAGCTTTTCTTGTCACACTGAGAAAGCAGCTATTTAAGAATGAATCCCATTCTTCTCATTTTGACCCATCAGGGTAGGATTCTGTTCTATTTAAAGTTTCAAACTGCTCTCCTATGTTTTGTTTTTGTTTGTTTTTGTCCCTCAGGATGGCTTTCTCAGGTGTTTCCAGGAGAGCTGAATTTTAGGTATAAGGTGGAGGGAGCAAATGGCTGAGGTGAAATCCCAGGAAGTTCCTTTTGTGATCAGGAAAAAAAAAAAATCCCCAAGCAGGTCAGCTTCCCCTGTGGTCCTCTGGTTCCGTTAGCTAGCCTTTGGAGAATATCTCTCTGGAATGTGCATGGGGTCCCACATAGCATTTTTCTTGGCAAATTATATTTTGCCAAAGCTCCTGTCTGCTCTGAGGTTAGTTTTGATTCACTCTTACGACTTGTGCAAGTACTTTCCTGTGTTGGGCAAAAACCTCTTGGTAGCTCAGCAGCATTTGAGCACCAGAAGCGTCAGTGGTAATAGCAGGCAGGTCATTTGCAAGATTCAGAGGAGGATTAACAAATAGCAATGAATGTGGTTGGAAGGGAAGGCCCAAGCTACCTCTTCCGGGAGGGTTTGCTTTGTGTTTTGGCTGTTTGACAGCAGTCTGACACAGGAAAACAGAAGGAGCTCTTTCCCAAGCTGGGACATGTCCTTATGTAAGTGTTCATAATAAATGCAGACAGTAGAAAAACAGGGAGGAGTGTTACGTAAGGGGCAAAACACAGAGCGCTGCTTGTCGAGGAATCTGATTGGAGGTGTCACTTCAGAGCACGCTGTCTGGGGCGCTGGCAGGCGGCCAGGGCGCCCGCGCGCGGCCTGGAAACCCCCGGCGGCAGCTCTGCCCCGCTGCGATCGCGGCCTCGCGAGCGCCGGGTGCTGCCTGTGTCACCGCGCGCCCCTCGGCAGGGCGAGGCTGAGCTTGGTCCCATGCAGCTTCCTCTCATGCTGCCGGGGTGATTTCCTTCCCTTTCCGCACCGTGCCTTGTGCTCGCCACGGCTTGTCCGAGCTGGCGGGGGGGGGTGGGGGTGATGAGAAATCTTTAATGGGTTTGGTAGCGCTGTGTCTTTGGTGTACAGAGCTTTTCTGGAGACAACATGCTATTAATGCCAGCCATTTTTAAAGTGAGGCAGTTCTGTGCAAATTACAGAGGTATCACCTGCCTTAGGAACAGGCAGGGTGGGTTTGAGGAGCCGATTATGGTATAGAGCTGTTAGCTGTAACCACAGAAAGCAGGGCCAGCTCTTACGGTTTAATTCTCTCAGTAACAGCTTCATTTGCTGCATAAGTCTGTTTGCTGCAGCAAAAGGCAGAATCTGTCACCACAGATGCGCTTGTTTCTGGCAGATGTAGGCGGCTACAGCAGCAGTTCTGCAGAGCAGAGGGTCTGTGCTGTCTCACTGCGTCCTGTGCCTGCACTGACCAGTGCCACAAGACTGTAAGGTGTTAGGAAGCACGTGTCAGTGCTTTGCTGTGAAGGAGAAGCACAAAGTTAAAGTCGTGGTTTAGCTGTAGTTCTGTCAGTGAATAAGCAGGTTTATGAGGGAGGAACAGACACAGCTTGGCTGTTTCTTGTATAGGTGCATGTGTAGGGTGCTCTGCTTACAACAGGGGGAAGCAGGGAACATTTCTGGGCTCTCTGGAATGTCTGTTTGTTAAAGAGCTGAACCTCTCTCTTTTGGCTGCATGACTCTGCTGGGACTCCACAACTGAGAAGTGACACCTTTGCTTTTTTATTTTTAATTTTGTAGGGGGAAAGACCTGAAGGAGAAGCATGAGCAGAAGGTTTATGAGCGTGAAATGCAGCGCATCACACTGCCACTGTCAGCTTTTACCAACCCAGCGTGCGAGCTTGTGGACGAGAACACCATCGTGGTGCACACCAACGAGACGCCCCTGGAGGACGGCCGCGACGGGAGCGGGCCGCTCATGGAGCAGGCGGGTACACCTGGCGCCTGAGCAGCTGGGGCAGGAGAGCTGCCGGCCGAGCATCGCCCCCAGCTCCTGCTGCGAGGGCAGGGCGCGTGTTCATTTCTGTTTTGTTTTCTTTTTGATGAAAGCTGGATGGAGGTGAAGCAGGGGACAGAGTGATGGGCTGCTCATTACGATCTGTCTGGGGGCACCATTCAGTGCGTGACCAGCTGGGGGCTGGTGTGGTGGACCCTGCTGCTTCCTCCCGTCTATCTCCATGGAGCGCCAAGGGGATAGGGGGGATGAGGGGCCAGGCTCACACCTGGTCACAGATCCCATAGTCCAGAGCATGGTCTTGGCTTCCTCTTTCTCTGTTCCTTTCCTGTTGAATGGTGTGCACTGTTACTTGTGTTTCAGCCTGGAACCCCAGGGGAGAGCAGTACTGCAGGGATTGAGGGGAGCTTCACAGCAGATGTAGCTAGATAATTACACTCTGATTATAGGTCCTGTCTTTTGCTTTAGTGGCTGAGAGCTGAAGACACTGTTCAGCATCCTGCTGCTGAATCTAGTTTTTGGTTTTTGAGGAAAGAGGGTAGTGGC